AATTTACTATTTTTAATGCCTTCCTCACTTTCTTATGACAATTATTAATCTAGTTGGCATGGTTCTGCCTTTGTGAATGAATGTTATTGAAAGTTTTACCCTATCACCAACCTCCATTGTTCACATAAATAGTGACCAAACTCTTTTTTTAAATTTTTAACATTTTATTAGGGGTTCATACAACTGTTATCCCAATCCATACACACATCAACTGTGTAAAGCGCATTTGTACATCAGTTGACCAAACTCTTAAGAGCTTAATCTGTACAGGTCAACAATTCATGTGGTCTATACTTGTATAATTTCCTCTTCTCAACAGTGTTTCAAGTTCTATACGATTGGCTAACTTAATGACACTATCAATAAAATTACCTTATGGCCCAGGGGGATGATTTATAATGTTTTCTATCTTAAAATAATGATGTCTCTAATGTGAACCAGAAACTTATATAAATCATACATATATAATTTGTATGACTCACACTTAATCCTAGCCTCAATGTAAGAACAAGTAGGTTTTGTTTTGGGGTTTTTGTTTTTTTTCAGTTTTCTGGTTTTATTAAGCACACACAGCGCGCAGGCGGCGCTAGGCATCCAGCTGCTGGATGAAGGGGTTGGGAATGGCCTCCGTGCCGTCCTGTGGGCACATCAGTACCACCAACGTGCTGCAGCACACCACCTGGCCCAGCTGCTGCTTGTCCTCCGTCAGCTTGTACTGGCCCTCAGGGTTTCTCATGTACTCAATGGTGCCATCCAACACGAGGTTGAGGAGGGGGTCGAACCCGTTCAGGATTCTGCTGGCTTTGTGGCCACCCTGAAACTTCACCTGGACATCTTGTCAATGTCCTTGGACAGGTCCAAGATGCTCTCCTTCTTAGTCTGCCGATTCCCCACGCCGTGCTGCTCTGAACAATCAGTTTTTATGATATTGCCTTGCTTCATGCTCACTCTTATGAAGAGATCACTGAAAATAGGAGTGCTATGGCAAAGTGTGCTAAAGAAACTAGATGGTGCCCAGCTATCAGAAAGAATGGAGTCAGGGTCTTAAAGGCTTGTCTTAAAAGAAGCAGCCACCTACGTGAGGCATCAACTAAGTCCACAAGGAAGAAGCACACCAGCCTGTGTGATCCAAGGACTGTAAATAATGAAATCCAAATACAAGGAGGGAATGGTATCAGAGCTTAAATCGCGAATACCAGCAAGCAGAGGGCTATGACAGTAGAACCCCAAAATCCATTTGCAGGGTCCCCATGTGGATTAAGCCCTGGTGAGTCTCCTCTGATCATAGCTAAGGGATGCAAATAGCCTTACTGTCAGAGAGGGAGCACTGTAAAATTGTGATGGCAGATGTCGGTAGGTTAAAATGTAATGCCGTGTCATCCATCTCCCTTTGGACCCAAGCTAAAGTTGTTTCAGGTTTGATATTTTCTGCTTTCTCGTTGATTGAGGTTTGTCTAGTTATCATTTTTGTTTTGCTTTGCTTTTTTGTCTGTTTGTTTCCTTTTCGGTTTTGGTATAATTTTCTGTCTGAAATCCAGGATAGGTAGAACAATAGAGGCAGTCACTATTGATGACTGCCTAGGGTGTATGGCAAAGGAAGTTGGTGGGGCCATGGGGAGCTAACAACCATGAGTATGAGAAGAAAATGTTTTGAAATTGATTGTGGTGATGATTGCACAAATCTTAATATGATTGAATGATTAAATTGCATGGCACTTAAAATATATGCCCATACACCTATTTTAAAAAACAGTAAGTTTCTCATATGATTGAGATGCGTTCGCCTGTGCATTAGCCTTTGAGGAGTATTGTTCCTGCGGTTGGACGGCTTCTCACCGATCAGCAGTCATCCGTATGTATGCCTTTGTTGCTCTGCTTCTGCTTTCCCAGTGCCCTGTGCTGAATACTTTCTTCCTCTACCCAAATCTTAAAAGTTTGAAATTTAACCAAAATGCCTTCTTCTTCTCAGAAGAGCAAGGGCTCTATGGTTCGGAAAAGAAAGTAATTTCTTCCTAAGAGCTTCCTGATAAGAATATAGTGAAAAACATTTTATTGTTATCACAAGTTATGTTCTGCATTTTGTGATCATTGTTTACTCACCTATAAGGAACCCTGGTGGTGTAGTGGGTTATGCATCAGGCTGCTAACTGCAAGGTCAGCAGTTCAAACCCACCCCTGCTCTGTGGGAGAAAGATGAGGTTTCCTGCTCCCGTAAAGAATTCTGTGCCTCGGAAAGCCACTGAAGCAGTTCTACTCCCACCTATAGAGTTACTGTGAGTCAGAATTGACGTATTGGCAATGAGCGTGGTTTTTGGTTTAGGCATATATTTGTAAGATCTCAAGGTCAGACAACTAGTCTTTCTTGCACAAAGTAAAGATTGTATTCAATGTATATTTGTTAAGGAATGAAGGAGGGGCCTTGGCTACAAGAGATTAAGTAGTCAGACTAAGCCGAGTTGAGAAACTGTCTTAGGGTTGGCAAAAGGCAGCTGGTTTGGTCCAGCCTGTGAGATTGGGTTCGCTGCTGTGCTTCACCTTGCTTGATGAATCTGATGGAATGGTGTGTTGAGAAGGATTGCAGAGTCACGTACTGACTGCATGAGGAAGACACCCATGATGGCTGATCTCTATCTGCCAGGGTGGCGGGAAGTGGCTGTACACATGCTATGCATTTTTCAACCCTGGTAAGAGTTCTCTTTTGGTTTAAAATATATATTTCCCTAGCACCAACCCCAATGTCAATGTAAACAGAGCTCAACCAATAAGAAATCAATCTGTACAAAACAACTCATGGATTGAAGCTCATAGTTGGACTATACTTACATAAACTCTTCCTATCAGTAGTATCATAACTTCTATGCCACTGGATAAATTAGTGATGTTATCGGTGCAATCACTTTGTACCCTAGGGGGATGATCGACAACGTTTTTCTTTTTGTTTTTTGATTACTGTTCTTCATTTTGTTTTGTTTTTTGCAATAATATGACTGCCAAAGTAAACCAGAGCTGTTCACAACCTGTGGACAAGCAGATGGATTCTGGGCTCACACTTAATTCTAGCCCCAACCCAAGAAGAATCAGCTCTTATAAAAGGGCCCTGCTTAATACTCGCCTTCATGGAGAGATCACTGAAGATGAAGGAGCTGCAGCAAAGTGTAGTGAAGAAAGCAGATGGTGCCCAGCTATCAATTGAATAGTGTCTGGGATCTTAAAGGCTTGTATTCAAGCAAGCAGCCATCTAAGCCAGGCATCAACTAAGTCCACATGGAGGGATCACACCAGCCTGAGTGATCCAAAGATGGTAACACAATCCAAATATGATGATGGGAAAAGCATTGGAGCTTAAATTGCGAACACCAAATTTGTTGAAGAGATGGAGGGCAGTGGGAACCTAAAGTCCGTCTGCAGAGTATCTAGTCAGATTAAGCCCCTGGCAGATCCCCTCCAGCCACAGGCGAGGCTTGGAGCAGCTTTACTCTCAGAGATGATTGTAAACTTGACTGTGGTGGAGTGAACCACGGTATAATATGATTCTTGGTCAGCTGACCTCTCTTTTGACCTAATCTGAACTTGCTCTAGGTTCAAATATTACTTGCTTGTTTTACAACATAAATTTCTTCTCAGGCTTTTAAAATATTTTTGGTAGTCTTTTTCCCCTTAGTCTTTAAAAAAAAAATCATTTTATTGGGGGCTCATACAATTCTTATCACAATCCATACATACATCCATGTGTCAAGCACATATATACATTGTTGCCATCATCATTCTCAAAACATCTGCCGTCTACTTGAGCCCTTAATATGGGCTGCTCATTTCCCCCTCCCTCCCCCAGTCTTTTTTATCTTTATCTTATTATTTTCTTGTTTCATTTTTCATTGTTTCTGTTAGATTTCCCAGTTCATGGAGCACAGGAGTGGATGCATCGAGACAATAACTGATGCAATTGTTTACTGGCGAGTGGAGGGCGGGGAATGGAAGAGCAAACAATGAATGGGGAAGGAGGAGGGAGGAGGGAGCTGATTATAGCTAATTGTGATTTATATACAACTTTAAAAAAAGAGAGAGCTTTAACTATGAAAGTGTATGATATGTGAATATTGTATCAAGAAAAAAGAAAGAAAGAAAGAAACCAAACTTGACTAATGGGTGAGGCAGGAAGAGTTTTTGCTTAGGGGGCATTGAATTTATGTTAATGATGGTGGAATAATTTGGAGAAGGATATTAATAATGGTTGTACAACACAGAAAGTAAAATCAATGGCTCTGAATTATATGTGTGGAAGTTGTTGAATTGGAGAATGTTTTGTTGTGTATATTTTTGCCACAATGAATAATAATAATAATTATACATATAACAATGAGTATAAGGAAGAAGAAAATATTCTAAAATTGATTGTGGTAGTGATTGTACAACCATTTTTTATATGATTGAACTATTGAACTAGTTGTATGATATTTGGATGACATTCCAATCAAACTGTTAAAATATATGATAAAAAAATATCTGCACATCAAGGAAGAATCATGGCCTGAAGAAATGATGTATGAGTTGCTTTAGGAATATGATGAGTTTAGATAATAAGACGTTGGAATGTCTCAGGTGTTTTGATAGTTTTAGCTAAGCATGTGGGATATTTTCAAATAACAATAGCTAATAAGTCTTCAGTATGTCAGGCATCCTTCTAAGCACTAAACACGTATGTATGTATCCATTTATAGTCTTCCGCTAACAACCCATGAGGAAAAGTTCTATTAATATCTCCATTCTGTAGGGTATGGAAACGGAGGCACAGAGAAGTTAAAGAGCTTGCTTAACATGTGCAGCTAGTGCAGTCTGGCCGTAGCTACCTCCAACAGCCGCACGTGTACAACATGGAAGGGGCACGGTCAATTTGCGAAGACTGAAGTGGCCCACCTTGCTAAACTCTTACTCTAGATTAGAAATATGGACCGTTCACGGTTCTTATAGTCATGCCTGATCTTTTCTGTTTATTTCCTTAGGCTCCCTTGCCAGCTCCATCTTCGATCCACTCAAGTTTCTTGTGGGAGCATCAGGAGGTGTCTATGCCCTGATGGGAGGCTACTTCATGAATGTCTTGGTGGTAAGAAAGTCCTTTTGCAAATGGAGCCTCTGGGCTTTAAAAATTCTACTTTTTAAGCAGGAACTTTTATAGTTGATTCTCGTTACAGTAAGTTATGCTTCATAAAATGCCCCAGAGAGGGCACAAATGGTTTGCGCTCTCCTATTAGCCTCAAGGTTAGCAGTGAGAAGCCCCTCACTGGTAGCAGGGAAGAAAGGCCTGGTGTGAAAATGGTGGCGTGGGGGAGTCACCTGGTCGTCTTCAACTTCACTCGAGGCAGAGAGAAGCATTGTCAGCATTGACAGTCCAAGGCGGATTCCTGCACAGTGAGGCTGTGGCCCGTAGGTCCGCTTTGGGACCTTGTTACCGATTCTGACACCAGCGGTCACTCCCACGGCAATCTCGGCTTCTCTGCCGGGTTCCATAATTCATGGCAGTGGCCTCCGAGAATTCATGAACTACTATTATGGGTTTTATTAGGGAGGTAAAACGTTTACAATTCAGAACCAGGGGCAACTTGGGATACAGTTCCATCAGGACAGCTTCTCAGCCATGTCCTATGGTAGGCCTCTCCCTGGCTCGTGGCCTCTTGGGTTTCATCCCCTGAGGCCTGGGTACCTAGCCTTGGTCCTGCTGAGGCAAATGCTACAAAGCTCTTTAGCTTCACTAAGTGCCCATTCCACTAGTAGGCCTGGGCCTGAAGGTGCTCTGTTCTCTTGCACTGAGGGTTAATGAGTCTCACTTAGCCAAGTGTCCAAAGGCACGTATTTGGCCTGGAAGCTTCTTGCTGGAAGGCAAACAGCTTTAGCTTTCTCCCTGTGTGGCCCAGGAGGCCACCAGGCATCCGGTCTCCTGACTGCCACTGCTCCTTGCTGGCTCCAGTGTTGGCGCTTTCTTGCTCCGGCTCTTGGCATTTTAAACAGTTTAATCACCAAGAAAAGGCACAAAATTGTGAAAACCGTGCCACTAAATAGACTGAAAAAGGAACTTGTTTACAGAATGAGAGCTGAAACGAGGCAGGGTCACCTTGTTTGACCTTAGCCAGGAAGGTGCATGCTGGACAGGCACCCTTTTGGACATGTCCGTGAATGATCACGGAAGCGCCTCAAGTATTGATTTGGGGATTACAAAAAACATTTAGCAAGTAGGTAACCTTACAAACACAGAGTACATAAATAACGAGGACCCACAGTATTTGCTCAGGGGAATCTTCCTTGATGAGTCAGCTACTCAAGGAGGACCAGCTCTTCTGAGAATTATAAGGCCAACGAACGTGTAGTTCTCCTTTCAGAGCTCATCTGGATCATGTTCTGGTCTCCAAAGTAATCAATACGAGCAAACTAATAGAAAGTCCGAGTGTCCTGACCCTCTACACGTTATCAACACACACACACACACACACACACACACACACACCACCTGTGCCCTCTATACAGCAGCAGCTCGACTTAACCACCCTTCGGCTCTTCGCAGGGGGTTCTTTCACATTTATCTTTTGCAGCATTTGTGTGATTTGCTTGTTTGTTGGTTTGCTTGCTTTTGGGAAGATGTCTAAAATTGGATTTACCAGATAAAGGCTTTAAATTTTAGTAGCTATTCACCAAATTGGTCTCCAAAATTTTACCCTTCTGCTGATAGCATGTGATAGTGGCAACAACTTTTTAACAGAGGCTAAAGTTTTGGCTCATTCTAACCTGGTAGCCTGCAGTTGGGGATAGAATCACAGACACGATTCCAAAATCAGTAACTTAGTGTCTTAGAAAAACAACAACTCTGTGTCGCAGCAATGGGCGAGGACCCAGAGTTGTTGTTTGCTGTCTTCCTGGTTAACCCTGACCCACGGTGACCCTACATGCACCATTCCTGGTGGTGAACTCAGGGAGGGGCTTGTGATAAAAAATTGAACAGAAAAAGAAAGCTCGGTGGTTGTCCCGGGGTAAGTACTGCTTGATTTGTGTGTGTGGCAGTGGGTTGTTGTGTAAGTTACTTCCTACTGTGAGTCACGATCAGGAAGGTGTGAAAATAACTTAGAATGAACATGGCTCTATTGGCATCTTCATTCCTCAGAGGGAGAGGGAAGTACTAGAAAGGGAAGGAAGAAGTAGAAATACCCTTTTGACTCGAGAGTTCTGTGGTGGGACTGAGATTTCACAGCTAAAATCAAACAATGTCTTCTGACCAACATTGTGAATTTTTTCCAGAAAAAAAAGTTTGTTTTTTTTAAAGGTAACACTCAAATGTCAGTTACACACTTGATAGTTAATTGCTATTGAGAAGGAAGATAAAATGAATACTAGCACCCCCCTGAAAAAAAAGAAAATTGGAAACATTTATCAGGTTGAGTTTGACAGCATTTGAAAAATGGACACATGAATTTACAGTACCTCTGTTTGGCCGTCAGGCTCAAAGAATTGTCTCCAGTTGATTTACTGGTACAGGCAGCATGTTCCATATGTCCTTCAAAGCGCATCGCCCTTGAACTTCCCAAAGTGAAAGCTGGCCTGGCGCTGGCACGGTTTTGTTTTGCAAATAGTTAATACTTCAAACTTTGAATGAAGAAGCGGAGGAGGAGGAGGAAGTGGAATTGATGTTTCATTTGTCAAGATGGCTTATATTATTATTTATCTCTTTGCAAGAATTTTCGAGAAATGATTCCTGCCCTTGGAGTTATCAGACTACTGATCATCATCCTGATAAGTATGTGTGTTCTGGGGACACGTTCCACTTTCCATGTTCTACTTTCCACCCCTGAAGTGAGCCTTTGCACAAGCGTCTGGTGGCTGTGCCCTAGCCCCAAGCAACCTCAGGCCAACAAGCTTAGATGCCATCAAGGGGGTTCTTGGAGGTGCTTCGGGGTCACATGCTTTCTCTTTGTTCTTTCTGGATGGAGTGGGGACAGCTAAGAGGGTAGAGCTGACGCCACCCTCTAGTTTCACCATGACAGTGTCACTTACATCTTACATGCAGTAATTTGCAGTAGCGCTATTGTTTGATAATGCTTAAAAACCACTGGCTTAATCTCTTCCTTGATAACTTAATTATCAGATAAAAATTTGGGACCTTTTTTTTTTTTCTCCAGAGGAAGCAACAAGAACAAACAAAAAAACTGAGCTAGAAAGTGCCTGAGCTTATTTCTGTTGAGCTGGACCCAGAAAGCAGGTATTCTGAGTCCCAATTCACTGCTATTACACTTAGTTTTAGTAAAAACAAACACAAAAACCTGCTTTCTTCATGTTTATATTTTAAATATTTTTGATTAAGAGAAACTTTTATATGAAAAACAGTCTAAATATAAAGCTTTTCACATCTTTTATTTGTATTTTGTTAGCTTTTCCATATTTACTACCATCCAGTTGATTAAGATTCATGTTATAGGGCTGGGTAGAACTACCCCTGTGCGTTTCTAGGGCTGTGACTCTTCACAGGAGTAGAAAGCCTGTCTTTCTCCCAAGGAGTGGCTGGGGTTTTGAACTGCTAATCTTGGGGTTAACAGTCCAGCTCATAACCCACTATGCCACCAGTGGCATATCTTGCTCATTTATATTCAAATGAAAACTAAAACTCTCCACTTTGTTTCTTTAGAAGGAGGTTGGAGGGTGACTTAGAAGCGAAATTGAAATTTAATGACTAGTCATAGGTATCAACCATGGGTCCCCTTGAACCTGCAATCAGAGAGAGTCTATGGAAGACCCACTTGTTGATGAGGGCCCAGCACTAATCTGGAATGTCAAAAGATAGAGTTGCAATGGCAGTGACCTTTCTGACACCTGTAAACATGAGAAGCGGTTCCATCTTTAGGCTCATTTACAGGTGGAGCCTGGGGCTCTGAGGTGTTCTACGTTGCAGGGGAATTAACAGACATGCCATTGGCTCAAGAAGAGCCTTCTGTGAGCCTTTCTATCCTCTTTCACAAGAAATTCCTTGTTCTGTAAAATTCAGTCTAATTTAATAAGGTTCTCAAAGCTATTTGACCCTTTTTGGGGTATGTGTGGGCGATTACTCAGTGCTCTCTTGGCAATGAAAAACTTTTGTACTATAGCACTTTCTAGGATAAAGTGTAGGTATCTGCTTTTGTAGCCCCTGCTGGGTGCCCTGATAGTGTTGTAATGGGTTACATGTTGGGCTACTGCAAGGTCAGCAGTTCAAAACCGCCAGCTGCTCTGCAGGAGAAAGATGAGGCTGTCTACTCCCACAGAGTTAGTCTCGGAAACCCGCCCCCGAGGCAGTCCTATCCAGTCAGAAAGGACTGGGTGCGACTGAGTTTGGTATTTGGTTTGGGGATCGTCCCAGAGCCCCTCAGGGCAGCATGCATGCACACTTTGGGGAACACTGACTTACAACATCAGTCAGATCAGAGAAGGGAGACAGCACAAGGGCGGGAGATGGGTATGTCTGGGCAATCCATTTGATAAGAAGGATGGAAGCCTCCATCTCTAGGGCCTTTGCTTCGGGACTTTCTCTCCCTGCAAATCTAACTGCAGAATTATTCAACTTCCTTGAATAAGAAAGGAGAAGATGGGAGCCTTTCCGGGCTGGTAGCTGGCAGCTGGAGGGGACCATGGCCAGCAGTGAGCGCACTTTTGTTGCCATCAAGCCTGATGGGGTCCAGCGGGGCCTCATGGGAGACATCATCAAGCATTTTGAGCAGAAGGGCTTCTGCCTTGGCGCCTTGAAATTCATGCAGGTTTCTGAAGACCTTCTCCAAGAACACTACGTCGCCCTGAAGGGCCGTACATTCTCTTCTGGCCTGGGAAAAAGGCATGCCCTTGGGGCCAGAGGTTGCCATGGTCTGGGAGGGGCTGAAGGTGAGGTGAACAAGGGTGTAAGCGAGGAGACAATTCAGAAGGCTAGTGCAAAAATGTAGGCATGATACAGCTGCCTGGCACAGCATGCGAACAGTGGCGATGAGGCGTCGTGTGGAAAAGGAAGAGCGGAGGTAGGAAGACAGAGGCTTTTTGGCTCCTGCAACCAGAAACAGTTGCCATTTAAATTTTTCTAGATGGAATGAAACAAAAAAACCTTAAATAGGTTGAGTCTGAGATGCTTCGAGATTATGGACATAAAGGGAGGGGGTGGGGTCTCACTGAGTTTAGAGACATACAGTTGGGAGTAGTCAGCTTGCAGATAGTGTCTGATGTCGTGAAACTGCAGGAGAATGGAGAAGATGAAGGTTTGAGCAGTGAGTCCTGGGCCTTTCCGAGGTTTACATGTTGGGGGAGATGAGGAAGTATCTACAAAAGTTTTTTTTTAGGGAGGGACTGATAAGTTATCAGTCCAGCCAGGAAGATGAGGCTCCCAAAGTGATCGCGTGACCATAAGCACAAGCTTGATGCAGTGAGTTCAGGAGAGAGGCGTGTCGGAAGGGCTTTGGGAAAACCGTAAAGGGATGCTGCTGCAAGGGGAGACAGAGAAACTGGTAGATGGTATGGGGGTCAAAAGAGGGTTGTTGAGCTCACTTTCCCCCAGATTGAAGATATTTAGCTTGTTTGCATCCCATGGGGGGAACTGATCAGACAGAAGACAAGTGCTGGAGCTCTGTCGTTAAGCGGGAGAGAGAGATGGATCCAGCACGCAAGAGAAGAGAGGAGCAAGGCAGAGCAGCCAACTCATTCACAATACCCCGGGGGGAAGGCAGATTGTCTGGTATGGATGCAAGAGGTAGCACGCATGGTGCCAAGAGCTCAGGGATCCCTCCTTATTGGTTCGATTAGTGAATTTGGTAGCAAGTAAGATGGTGGCAGTTTGGCTCAACTCACTGCCATCGAGTCCGTTTCTACTCATGGTGACCTGTAGGACTTCGTGGAAGTGCCCTGATCCTGTAACTCTTTCATGGGACTTAAGGAGAGAGGAAAATGTATGAAGTAGTCGTTTAGGAGAGTGGATAAAGAGAATTGATGATGGAAATATAGTCAGACCGACAGATTTCTAGCGAGGACGGCAAGCACGGCTGTGTGTTTCCCCAGCAGTATCCAACTGCGTGAGTATCTGAGCAGAGAAAGTGGAGAGTGTGATTTCCTAGGGGTGGCAGCAAGGTGTGGCCGTCTGCTTCTGTCAGGTTTACCGCCCTGGGAACCCTGTGGGAAGGTTCTTCTCTGTCCTACACATTACTATGGCTTGGAATGGACTGGATGGCCATGTTTGTTTGTTTGTTTGTTTGTTGGGTGTAGTGAGGGGAGCGCTGGTGGTGGTTAGGGAGAGGTTTTATAGGTGAGAATTATGGCCAGAGTCACCTTGGAAGAAAGGGCTGGTGATCTACTTCCCAAAAAGCAGCCATTTACTACCCTATGGATCACAGTTCTATTCTGACCCACATGGGGTCACCATGGATCAGATTCGCTGATGGTTTCATTGTTATTATGTAATGAAGAGTACGGGACTGTGAGGACATGAAGGGAGTTTATACAGAGAACCACGGGCCTACGGTTATAGAGAAATGGGAGGACACACAGAGGTGAAGGGTGGTGCCAAGATGGAGAGAGCAGTCGGCCACCCATTGTGGTGGGATTGAGATCCGGTGGTATGCTAGCGGGAGACACCAGTGGACACACTCGGGACGTTGGTATTTGAGATTCTGGAAGGAGCCGCAATGACTGGTCGTGACAAGAGCTGTATGAAGAAAGCCTGGGGCGGTGGCTGAGGAAAGAAGAGAACAAGAAGTGTAGAGGGCAGGAACCTTGGGAGCATGACCGATGTGGCTTTTGAAATCTTGAAGAGCCGTGGCATACATGCACATGCTAATTGAGTTGAGGACGAGTGTCCCATCTGGACAGGAGATGGAATTTTATCTGAGTCCAAAGCAGAAGCAAACAAGAGTCTGCAGGGGTGGGAAAGTGTATTCACCGAGTTGTCCCGCTGACGTCTGTCCACATGGAGGGCTGTGGGCATCAGGCCAGACCCTGGGGTCAGACGGTGGATGACCTTGAAAGCTAAGACAGAGGTGACATTTGATGAATCCAAAGATTTTGCCTGGCCACATGGCAAGAAAAAAATGAGTCTGCTAATTGGTATCAAGAGTTCAATGATCTACATATACTCTTGGTTAACTACTCCCTCAGAGAAAAGGAACTACATTTAGTGTATGAACAATTTAACACTTAAAAGGGAAAAAAAAACCCACCAATATTTCATCCCAAGAAAAAAAATAATTCACTTGCTTATAACCTATATCATACAGTTGACAAGTTTGAAGGCAGACCAGTGGAGGAAGTTGTCAGCCGTGGAGGGCAGAGACAGCTTCTGGGAACCAGGAGAGTGGTGGGTGATCAAGAACCAACGGTCAAGTTCACACAAACAAATAGGAAGATAAAATAATGCTGTTACACTTGGCCCACGTTTTCAGCCCAGATGCTTCCTTTAGGTAATGAGGAAGATAAGCTTCAGATCTTTAAAGGGGAAAGGTTTATTCTCACTGCCACTGAGTTCATTGCTTGCTCATGGTCTCCTGGAATGGGGCGGGGTGGGGGTGGAGGTTGGGTTTTTTTTGCTTCTTTTTTAAGGGACAGTTACTTTACCAGTCTAAAAAAACCAAACAGACAAATTCACTGCTACGATCGAGTCAATGTGGATTCATATCGACCCTCTAGGACCGAGTAGAAAATTGCCTCTGGGTTTCAGAGACTGTCAGTCTTGATGGGAGCAGACACCCTCACCTCTCTTCCGTGGGGTGGCCCACAAATTCAACCTGCCGACATGACAGTTAGCGGCCTAACTTGTAACCCACGCTGCCGCCAGGGCTCCTCCGTGAACACACTACCCCTCTTTCTTCTCAATGTCAGCGGGAAAAACCGAACACCACCCCCCTTTCCCTCATTACAGAGTATCTCGACATTGCTTACGTAATCTTACCTCATTCTTGAGGCCAGTAATCAAATCGATCCACGATGTGCTTGGATTGCGTTCTTCAAACATCTTAAGCAGTAGGTGGCACGTCAGTCACGCGAACCTTCCCCATTTCTCGCTTTCTGGACACATGCCATCTCAAAGTGCTGGGCCTGATTACCTGCTGTTGGAAATGAGAACCCTTTCAATCAATGTCAGATCAATAAGAAACAAATGATGAAATACAAATACACTTGTTAATTTTAAACATTTTCCCTTGGAAAAATATATGCCATTCCCAACCCTGCCCCGATTTCCTAAGAGATAAGTACTATTCTTAATTTTTAAGGTCCTTCTTCACCCAAACATCATTATTGGTGGTGCTATTTTCTAAAGTAACTGAGCTTTCTTTTGGAAAAATGTAGGGAGCCTTACATTTTTGTTCTTAAAAAACAAAACAAAACTGTACAAAGGTAGCTGTCATAAATGAAGAACCTCATTTAAAAAATAGTTGCAAAGAGAATTTTTACTGCACTGTGAAAAATGCCTTCCAAATAGTGTGCTGTGTTAAAACTTTTATACATAGTAATATCTGAGTTATGTTTAAAAACACATAGAAAAAGACTGATGAACTATGCCAGCATGTTTTCTCCGGGATGGGGGTTATGGACAATTTAAAAATCCATTTTTATATACTTTTATATTCCCTATATAATGAATATGTATTACTCCTGTAAGTTATATAATGAATATGTATTACTCTTGTAAGTTCAACTATATTATTTTGGTGTGCTTTGGTTTAGTGGTTGTATGTTGTGCTGCTAACCCAGAGGTTAGCAGTTCAAAACCACCAGCCACTCCATGGGAGAAAGGTGAGGCTTTATACTCTCATAAATGGTTACATTGGCAGCCACTGCCCTTTAGGATCCTAAGAGTCAGAGTTGATTTGGTGGCAGTGTGTTGTGACCTTTAAGCACACCAAATAATGGGGACTCACATTTTGAGAGAGGAAAATGATTTGGTTCCATGGAATAATAAGGGCTTCTTTTGAGATAGGAAAGGAGTCCCATTGGCCCAGTGGTTGCAAGGCTTGGCTGTTAACAGGAAAGCGGGTAGTTTCAATTAACCAGCCATTTAAAAAAATTATTAATCATTTTATTGGGGGCTTTACAGCTCTTATCACAATCCATCCATCCATCCATTGTGTCAAGCATGTTTGCACATTTGTTGCCATCATCATTTTCAAAACATTTTCTTTCTACTTGAGCCCTTGGTATCAGCTCCTCATTTTTTTCTCCTCCCTGCCCCAAACCAGCCATTTCTTTAGAGCAGCAGTTCTCAACCTGTGGGTCGTAACCCCTTTGGGGGGTCGAACAACCCTTTCACAGGGGTTGCCTGATTCATAACAGTAGCATAATTACTGTGGGCTGTGGGCATCAGGCCAGACCCTGGGGTCAGACTGTGGATGACCTTGAAAGCTAAGACAGAGGTGACATTTGATGAATCCAAAGATTTTGCCTGGCCACATGGCAAGAAAAAAATGAGTCTGCTAATTGGTATCAAGAGTTCAATTATCTACGCATACTCTGGGGTAACTACTCCCTCAGTTATAAAGTAGCAATGAAAATAATTTTATGGTTGAGGGTCACCATAACATGAGGAACTGTATGAAAGGGTCGCGGTATTAGGAAGGTTGAGAACCACTGCTTTAGAGAAAGATGCGGTGGGCTATTTCCATAAAGCTTTACAGCCCTGGAAGCCACCAGGGGCCAACTGTACCCTCCTATAGGGTCACTGTGAATCAGAATGGGGTTGCTAGCAGAAATTTTTGTTTTGTTTTTTGAGATAAGTCAGAATCAACTCAGTGGCAGCTGTAACAAATACGCAGAGAGAGAGAGGAAGGAGGGAGAAGTGAGGGATATGAGACGGGGAGACTGACAAGCCAATGGTGACAAAGGTGTCTTTGAGAGGGCACCTCTCCCCCAGGGCAGCCAGGCTAGACCTAAGTCCTTGCTCCAGCTTTCCTTCTCTCTCTGCCCTCCTTTTGTGCTTGGAGCAGGAAATGCAAAAGGTCGTGTACATATAGAACAGCTACATCTATCGAGCATTTTGTGCACTGGCCACATTTACAATTAAATTACTGTTGGGTACTTCCTCCGCTTCAAGTTCTGGCCAGTGACGTGGACATCACTGCAGCATTGGCAAGTCAAGCCGCGAAGAGCATGTGGTGCTGACGCTGTGGTCCCCAGGGGAGGACTAGGTCTTACATCTCCTAGGAGGCCCGGGTGGCTCAGTGGAGCAGAGGGAGCTGGGCGGTGGGCGTGCAGAGCATGGCTGCAGGAGTGTCCAACGGGCCTGCAGTAAGCCAGGTCTAGGCCAAGACAGCAGGACCCTCCTTTGGCAGCACGGTTTACTTGACTACCTAAGCCCTGCCTCTCACCACCCCACCGGAGGATGCGACTTGGTTCCTTTCCTGGCCTATCTCTGGGGTTCCCGGCAGTCATTAGAGGCAGTTCTGTGGTAGATGAGGATGAAGCCTGTCTAACCAGACTATATAAAGTTCAAATCCTGTTTGGGCCTCGCTGCTGTGTAGTCTGGGACAAGTACTTAGTCTCTGATCTAGGTTGATGTTTAAGATACCATCGATGCACCCCTCCCCACTGGATTATCGGAACAGTAAGGATGTCCTAGCGCATCTCCCAGATCCTATCCTACTCCCTCCGAGTCTGTTTCTGACACAGCAGCCAGAATGATCTTGTAAACAACCAATGTCAGATTGTGTGACTGCTGGGCTCAAAATCCTTCCGAGGCTTCAGTGATGTAGAAGAAAAGTCAAAGGGCTTTCCATGACCACCAGGCCCCGTGGGGTCGGTCCGATCTCCTTTCCTACCATTTTACTCCACACGGCAGTGCAGGATTACCGGAAGGATTATTGAAACAAGCTGATGACTCCCACTACAGAGTTTCTGGTTTGGTAGGTCTGGGGGTGGGGCTGGAGAATTTTAATTTCTAACTAGTTCCCTGGCCATGCTGATGCTGCTGGTCTTAGGGTGATCACATTCTGAAATCCAGCCTGATAAACTACTTTGGCATTCTTCAAATACTTCCAGCCTATTCCTGCCTTAGCTGCTAACCACACAGTGAGCAGTTCAAAACCACCAGCTGCTGCTCAGGAGAAAGATGAGGCTTTCTACTCCTCTGAAGAGTTGCAGTCTCGGAAACCCACAGGGGCAGGTCTACCCTGTCCTATAGGGGTGCTATGAGTCTGCGACGACAGTGAGTTTGGTGTTATTCCTGCCTAAGGGACCTTGCACTTGCTCTCCTCTCTACTGGGAAGACGTTCCTCAAACAGCCATTCTTGCTTCCTGACAGAAGACCTCGGTGGTGTACAATGCTATACTCATGGCTGCCAGATAAAGTGTGGAGGTGGCGTCTACCTATTGGCACTTTGGAAGAAATCTGCTTCCCCAGAGTCAGCTATTGAAAAGCCTGCCTGAGGTTTTCTCACACACACACACACACACACACACACACACGGTTGTCATGCGTTAGAATCTACTCACGGGTAGTGGGTTTGGTTTGGTTTGGCTCCCTATCGCCAGCAAATGTCAGATTCCTAGTGAGATCCTGCTTGACCATCCTGTTAAAAATGACATCCTACTCCTGACATTCTCCGTTCCTTTGCCTAGGATTCTGTCATCTCTGGAGCACTTATTAACATTTAGCATCCTGTTGGTTTGACTTGTTTGTTTGCCCTCCTTATCAGACCATTTGCTTGTTTTCCACCCAGCAATTCATACACATTTTGTTTCAGCTCATTGATTTTAACCCCCACGATGTAACATCACTCATCCCACTTCCTTCTTAGGTTTCCTGTTTCTATTCCTCCTTCTTCCTTAACCCTTCCGAGCTGTGTCCCTGGGTAAGTACCCGCTACCTTTTGGAGGCAAGGCTATTGCCTTAGCGCCACCTCCTGGAATAGTATCTGGCACATCGAAGCCAATCAATACACATTTGCTGGATGGATAAATCTGCAAAATGTGCTAATGATAGTGCCTGTTTCATGGATTTGTATAAGGATGAAGGAGTTGGCACATGTCAAATCTCTTGGAAAAGCATCTCAATAAGAGTGAGCTGCTGTTGTTGTCCAAGAGCCCTGGTGGCTTAGGGGGCTATGCATGGCTGCTAACCAAGAGCTCAACACCAGCAACCCTGAGCGAGAACCACCAGGCTATCTGTTCCCATAGAGATTCACATCTTCAGAACCGCTAGGGAGTTGTTCTACTCTATCCTAGAAGGTCATGAACCAACTCAAAAGCAGTAGGTTTGGTTCTGGCTGATGAGGAAGGAAACAAAAACATTTGGTACCCTGTTGTGCAAGTCCTGGGGCTTCATCAGGTTCTTTTTCATTCTAGTTGCCTCTGATGTGGGATTTGCTCTCTACAGAAGATTCTTCGTTCCTGCAAATGAGTCACCGGTGAGTTGCTTAAAAAGAAAAGCCTGTTTAGATAAAATAGATTAAAAGTGACATCTAGGAGGGACAGCTCCTCTGTGATGTGGAGTCCCTGTGTGGGCAACTAGTTGATGTGCTTGGCTGTTAACTGACAGGTTAGTGGTTCGGGTCCATCCAGAGGTGCCTTGGAAGCTTTCTTCCAACCCACATCAAAACAACTAGCCACTGAGATCGCTGTGCAGCACAGTTCTATGCTGACACGCATGGGGTTGTCGTCATGAGTTGAAATCTTCTCAACAGCAACGGATTTTTTAACTCTAAAAAAATTTTACACCCGGCAGATTTCCATTAGGATGCTGAGAAAATTGCTATGAAAAGCAGACTGGGCTTATCCTTTCCACGGACCTTTCTCATAGTCCTCGCACTGGGCTCTGTGCCTCGGCCCCGCCTTACTGCTAACTATTCTAATGGATGGGAACATAAGGATGATGAGCTGGGTTCAGACGAATTGACAGCACGAGAAAAAGGGACACAGCTGCCTAGTTTGGGCTGGAATGTGTGTTTACATTTGCGTAGCTTCTGTTGAGTATCTCTTCGTAGGTGTGACTTGTGCTTTAATTCCGGCGATCTGTTATGTGGGATCAGATTACACTCGGCTGGAGACCCCTCAGGGCAACTCCACTCTTATTCTAGACTCCACCTAGAACCCCCTTAAACCCAGTGGCTCGGTCTTGTCTCGCCCCAACCCCCCCAACCCCCTGCCGGAGAGGGAGTGAAACTGACATTTGCTGGGTCTGTATGCTGTAGAACATCTCCTTCTGTGCGTGTGATGACTTTCCTGTCTTGTTTGCCAAGCCCCAGAGTTCGCCAGACCTGTAAGACTCTGTGTTTGAGTCTGGTGGCTTTGGGGTTTGAGTGAGATGCAACCGAAATAGGCAGTATGCGTTTTCTTCACTTCTCTTTTTTTCTTTCTCCGCAGGTGTCTTTTGCAGCTCACATTGCAGGCGGATTCGCTGGAATGTCCATAGGCTACACGGTCTTCAGCTGCTTTGATAAGGCCCTGCTGAAAGACCCAAGGTTTTGGATAGCAATTGCTGCTTATTTAGCTTGTTTCGTATTTGCTGTGTTTTTCAATATTTTCCTATCACCGGCAAACTGACTGTCCCAAATATATACCAGTAACAAGTCACCAGAAGGGAGTGTAGGGGGTGGGGTGGTGGATGGACTGACAACTCATATCAAGGATCAGAGACCTTCTAAATACAGGCATGTACATATGTAAATATATTTATATATGATGATGGGGAAATAGATCTATGTACAAATATTTATAGGTTTAGTATTAAGGTAGCAGATGGACATTGGACATCTACTCAAGTACTCCCTCAATGCAAGAACACTTTGTATTATTAACCTGGCATTCCATGATGCTCACCTTCCCGACAC